ACATTGGCCATCGTCTTCATGTCTAAGATAGAATCTCCTGTACTCGCACGAAAACCACTTCTCTTCTGCCGTTACGTCGATGACTGCTGCATAGTATGCTCCACCCAGGGAGAGCTGGATCTCTGTTTTGACATCCTCAACAAGCAGTCTCGTCACATTAGATTGACGCGGGAGAAGCCTAGTGACAATTGGCTGCCGTTTTTGAATGTCGAGTTGCATTTGGCAGAGAATGGTTGGAGAACTCGATGGTATCGAAAGCCCAGCAGCAAGAACATTCTTATACACTGTTTTTCAGCGCACCCCCGGCAAGTCAAAAAATCAGTTGTAGGAAATATGTTCAGAACTGCTCTGAAGGTCTCCTCTGACGGGCAACAAGAGGCTTATTCCATGGCGATAGCTGACAAAGTAGCTCGATCTAATGGTTACAAGATCTTTGGGCATACTCACGCAAAACATCACCGAGCTCAGGAGAATGTGGTTACAGAAACCGATGGAAAGATCCCTTTCTGCCTGCCGTATATCTCAGAGGAGTTGAGCAAGACGGTCAGAAGATTGGTACTACACGCGGACCTCCAGAATTGGATAAGGGTAGTTGACATACCCCCCACAAACCTCAAACATCAGCTAGTACGAAATAGGGCATATGATAGGCTTTGCATGACTCCAGGATGCATCATATGCCCGCAGGGCAGGGAAGGCGACTGCATGGTTGCGGGGTGGTGTACCTTATCACCTGTCAGACATGTGGAGGCACGTACATCGGCGAGACGGGGCGGCCCCTATGTATACGCGTAAAAGAACACCTAGACGGGCTCAAAAAATCGAACATGGCAACTCCACTGGGCAAGCATCGCAGACAGTTCCATAATGACGCAGAGATACGCGTGGAGGTCACGATCTTGGCGTACGAATCCGAAATCCTAGCGCGCAAGACTTTAGAAGCGTTTTGGATTGCCGCCAAAAATCCAAATTTGAATAGGAAAGATGAGTGCATAGACATCACTAATGAGTTGGCGCCTTATCAGAGCCTTTGCGGCTTCTGAGGTCAATTTGAGGCCAGGCGAATAGGTATATAAGAAAGTAAGAGCTCAGTTACTGGTATAGTGGTCTGCAATACCACTTTGTCGGCATCTGTTTAGGTGAGCATTAGTTTAATCCTGCATTCACTTTCTAGTTCTTGATTCACTGACGCATTGGGCGTTTTCCTAGGTCTTGAGGCGGCTTTTGATAGGATAGTTCACTTATGCATTCGATGATTTCAGACTCTGAAGAAGGCGATACCGCCGAAACGTTAGTCGAATAAAGGATATGTGAATGTTATTGTTATGCCGATTGAGGCCCTTTGTCTCTCTACGTGTGCCAAATATGTTTAACCATAGGGCGCCTAGAGTTTTTGGAGAAAGAAGAGTGTAACACACTTATGTTACGACCTAATATCAAAATGATGTAGTAATTAGGTTTTGCGGCAACACTCAGACACTGGGAGTGGACAAGCCGTTGCCCCAAAAGGCCTTTCGGGCCAGTCCGCGGCCTTAATTTGGGGGCGTGGCCGGGGTGCGGCCGACCCGCGGCTCTTCGTTCATGTATCATCGCACCGGCCGAGCCGCGGGAAAAAATGGGCTTACCGACTCAGCTGCGGTCATTAATGTTGGGGCGAAGCATTGCAGCGGCTGAGCCGCAAATAAAAATTCGTGTAAGAAACTCTGAATGATCCGCGGCCTATGTAAAATGAAGGCCGCTCCTAGTGTCTTAGCGTAAAGGATACTTGTGTAATGTACGATGCATGGTCAGGCTTCCCTCAGTGTCCATAGCCTTATATGTTGTCTTGTGAACAACGGATAGCTGGCGTAATTCTACTCTGAAGTCGGACTTGGCTTCCGAAGCTGCTGTATGGTGGCTTCAACCTTTGTTTGTTAATTGTGTATTTTCTTATGTGCCAGCGAATAAAGGACAGTTCTACCGTTTATCTGTGCCCGGCTTAGACTATCGAATTGTACATGATTTAACGACAAAGGGGAGTCTTTTGAATGGGCCAAGATCAAGTAGGCTGGGCTATGAACTACGGACGGCCCGACGACCAGCTGCGGCTGAGCCGAGGCCCACTTACGGTCGAGCCGAGACTCATCGCCTCTGAGCTGAGGCCTACTCTCTGGCCGGACCGCAGGAGCTGCGAAATTCCAGCCGGAAAAGTGCCGCAGCTCGTCCGCCCCAGTGTCTGAGCACTTGGTTCGTTTCATTATACAAGCATACTTGAAGGGCCCACTACCCAATATCATCAAGGTCTGATAGATATCGAATTCCGAGTGACTGATTCAAAAAAACAAAGCGGTAGATGTTAGGTTGAATCGAAAGTTCTGTTGCACCATTTTCAAACAATCGTAACTTCTTCCTGTCACTATATTTTTCACGACAAAAATACCACTAGGAAGAGTAATACATGCACTTTCTATTTACACCTTGCTTTCTCCCATGCTCTGAGTGCCTGATAAAATAATGAAAAAGAAATTAGTTTAATTTCGGAATTTTGAGCATCCCGTTAAAACTTTCAAACTGTGCAGTAAGATCCAAAAGAGTCAGCATCTGGTTTTTTGATCCCCTCTTTCCAGCTGAGAAAAGATCGCGCTGATCGGCTCTTCTTAAAAAAGTTATGAATTTTAAGAAAAAAATGCAAAAAATAGGTTCCTTAAGAAAATTGATTTTTTTACCATTTTTCCCTCAAAAATCATAACTTTTCAAAAAACAGCTTGACCAGCGCAAATTTTGCTTTTGTAGAAAGAGGGGTCAAATAATCTAGGACAATGGCTGTTTTGGATTTTATAGCGCAGTTTTGGATTTTTTAATGGGCTTGCCTCAGAATTCCGAACCTGAATTAATTTCCTTTTCCCATTTTTACCTCTGCAATCAAAGCATAGATGAGAGTAGGTGACAAGGTGACATTAAAAAGTATACGAGCTATACTCTTTTTAGTGGCATTTTTTAATTCAAGATCATCGTGACAGAAGGAAGCAACGATTTTTTAAATATGGTGCGACAGAACTTTCGGTTCAACCTGATACTTGGCCTTGGGCTCCCATGTGAACTTGATCTTTGTTGTCGGTAGTAAATTGAAACAAAATTTCATCTCGGACTGAGTCGAATGAAGCTTTCATCTATATAAGACATTACAGCGATACCCAAAAACAGTGTTTTTCTTGCAACTCCATAGGCTCTGGCGAAGGCGATTTCGTCGAAAGTTAGTCGTAAAAAATCGTTAGTATTATACTTGGTTTATTGGTTAATCGGCTTACACAATTATCAATGTATCTGATACCAAGATCAACAAGCGGAGTTGCACATTTATAAGCGTATGTTTCGTCTTCGCGCTTGGTCGAAGGCTCACACAGGGAGCTCTCTATCCCATATCGTAGAGTTTTAAAGTCCTCAACTTTACAACTTTTCGAAGAAGTCACTACATCAGTGTTATACTGAATTTTAGAACTTTTCTAGATTTTTTGAAAAGTTTTCCGGAAATTCTAGATTCTAAGTTAGCAACAAAAATAAGCACCTTTCTAGAGTCTCAGCGACAAGATTCACCACTACTATGCATGCGACTCCGTGAAGAGTTTCGGAAAGTGACTACTCCAACTGATATGAGGAAATTCATAAGAAAAAAATTTTTTGAGGCTGTCTTGAAGTCACGTAAGTTGACTGTTTCTTAAACGCTCTCGTATGAAAGATTCCCTGAATTATTCTCACTTCTAAAACGTCACGTTGTGTAGCGGCTGATTCGAATTGTTCATCATTCATGTCATCGTAGTGCCATGTACTCACCATTTTACTTTCTTGGAATCTTTTGACAAGGAGACGACGAGAGTGCGCAGTGTTCTCGCCGCTTTGCTGATTTCAAGCTAGCTTTATTTTTCCTTTTCGTTGATAGACTTAATGACGCTTGTTTGCTCAGGCTAAGAATTCAAGTTTTTTTGGGTACTTAAACATAGGCGAGGAAAGATGTTCGAGAAGTTTGTGGGAGAGAGTACAGTACCTGCTCAGCCACCGCCTGGTCATGAGCAAAAAACTGTCCCAGTATCTAATTTGCAAAACACTACTTTGTTTTCGAGTTTTGGGAAGCATAAGAAAGTATGCGATTGTTGACTAGCTGATTACTATAGCAGAGCTGTTTTAATCCTGGATCTCCTAGCTAACTTTTTGTAAGCCGTGGTAATGACGAAGCGATGCATTCCGACCGCAACAGGCTTGACAGAGTGCAGCCAATATGCTTAGCAGAGTTTATTTTATCGACAATTGGTTAATTATTTATCCATTTTTTATATTAAGTTGTCCCAAACGTTCTTGCGCCGGATTTTCAAAAAATCATAAATTTCTTGCCATTCGATAGTTTTTCCTAAAATTATTTCTTTTGAAAGAAAAAACCTTTCGCTTTACATTAGCTCCTTAGCCATGAATTGGCTTTGGAAAGTTCGAGAGCTAGAGGAAATTGAAGGAAATCAGTCAAGGTCGGCATTTTTCAAGCTGAATCACGAAAAATTCTAATAGTATTTTTATTTAATAGAGAGAATTTTACGCATTACAGTGGTTCCTTTCCCATGAATAGGAAGGAAGTAGATCGAGAGTTAGAAGCAAAAAAAGAGAATTTCTTCAGTTTTGCAATCGTTGAGTATGCTCAAAAAATAAAAGCCTAGAAACGTCACAGAAAAGATGGGAAAGTCCCGAGCATGGGTTTTTGTGACCTCCTCTTTCTAGAGGAGCAAGTTTCGAGCTAATCAGGAACAATTTTAATTTTCGTGACTTTTTCGGATTTTTGGGAGTGTCAGGATTAAGGGTTCGCGATTCCCTTACCTGATGTGTAGCGGTACAGGTTGGTATTATATATATTTATTATCTACATATATTACAAGAAAGGGGAAGGGGGAGGACTGACTAAGCAGCCTTACGGTGCGCGGTCGTAGGGGGTCACTCGATCCTATCTGACCTTCTCGGCCAGCTCACGGGAGAGCAGCAGGCGGAGCTTACCTGCGTCCCGACATCTCCATTGCTTCAGAAAGCTCGTCCTCGAGCTTGTTCGGCTGTTATTGAATGTCTTCCGAGTTACGTGTGTAAAGAGTACACTTGTTACGGCGAGACCATAAGGAACTTCGATTTCGGTACCATTATCTTCTGCTTGATTGAGTAGAGGAGTTGGCTTAGGCGGACTGGATAACCAAACACGACCTTCACCTCATCCTAGGGGTATAGAGTGAGCTTGTCCTCAAGCGGAGAGATATACGGAATGAACGATGTGACGTAGGGGACTGCTTGGAAGAGGCAGGAACATGTAGTTGTAGGAAGTGAATAGGCGTATCATGTTCTCGGAAATCGATAAAGGGGATTAGTTGGCGTGGAGATGTATAGGAGTATAATGTGACCAGTATTCAAATGTTGATACGAGGAAGTTATATGTTGGAAGGGCACTTGTTGTAGAACATGTTAAAAAAATAGCGTGGTGAATAGATTACATAGATAACCAAAAGTATTGGGCGATATTGAATGACATTAGTGATTCTGAATTTATATTTTACATGAAGTAGTTAAGCGAGTTGTGGAATTTTAGGAAGTATAATATAATAAGGCATTGTATAATTTGAACCGAGTGACATATGGTTATACAGCATATAAATAATGCGATCGATTAGAAAACGGAGAGGAAGATTTAGATGCAGAATTTAGCACAACAAACTGTGTTTAATTCAACGTAGTGGCAAATTTTGAGTGTTAGAGAAATGGGAAATTTTTTTTTCGCTGCCTAGTACAAAATATTTTTTTTTCATTCTTTGAACTGCCGGTTCAAAGAATTATGCTTATACATAATCGCAGCGGTGCGGCAAAATAGGTGTAAACAAACTCACGTTGAGAAATATCCCGGCAGCAGAAAAAATAAAACTCTGATAGTCGGATTTTTTTTCAAACTGAGTTTTGCATTTGAAAATTGTCTTGCAGTCTTGCGACCAAAGTCAAGACTAAATTCGTGAACAAAACAATCATGATGTCGTTCATGTTCTGATGTTTCCTTTTTTTGAATTGTTTTTTTTTGAAATGGTGCGTTTTTGGAAGCATTAGCCCATTTTCGACATAGACAACATGAAAATGCAAACCAAGTTATACAAAATGAATTAACAGTACATTTTGGTATAGTAAATTATACAAACAGAACGTTTCCACTGCAGAAACTCCGATATGTAGCTTTTGAGTTACAAGTGTAAAAACTTCAGGGGAAATGATCCTAACATCATGTGTGGTAATTCACGACTAATTTGCAATCTAAGAAAGCTATCTATTCTTCAACGTCCACATCCAATATAGAAAATTTTATGGTGTGATTGTTCCTGAATTCTGCTGAAATCTGTAAGGGAATCATTACCATCCTTTTCTAGGGAAAAAATAAGAACTGGGTGACGTGAAATGTTTCAAACAGTTTCTTTTCATTCCCAAGAATGAATTTCAGTGTGACAAAAAAACTATGCCTTCCGTTGCATAACTTCGGCTGATCACCTTTCAAAAAAAAATGCGGTCATTGCTTCCGATCAGAATATCAATCTGGATATCTCAACATGTTCAGAAGCACTGAGGATTTTTTTTTGGCAAACAGCAAGTTATTTCTTCTGTGAAGCGTTTCGGTTAAAAGAAAATTGTTCTCTGAAAACAATCTCCATTCAGCTACAAGTAATATTCTCTCAAAATATTTATAATTGTAGTTCTGATTGCTACGTTTAACAACGTAATGCAGACTTGGTTTGTGCAATTGCACAAAACTGGAGGAACTGCTATATTCCAATGTTCTTACCTGTGTGTCCATTAATTCGAATCAAAGTCATGAGCGCGGTTTTCAATGAACTACTACAATCGTGCATGTTTTACAAACATTTTGCGAGCTTCTTCTTTGTTTGAGTATGTGCTCACAGGTCTTATCCAGAAATGCTGAGGCAACGAGCCAATGTGAATTACTTAGAAAAAATTATTGCTCTTTCGGGATGTCAAACTCAAAAAATCAATGCAACGGGACCATGAACGATTTTGTAAAAGAAAGTTTTTTCGCCAGATTTGTACACAATCAATAGAAAAAAATTACGTCATGAAAACATCTCGAAATCTTTCAAAAAAACGTTCTTTCGGAAACATAGTCTTTTTTTTTACCAACGCTACCTATTGAATTTTCTTAACATGCAGAACTGGAGCTTGGCCGAGCTGTTCGTTACTGTCGTTGAATTCAGGGGTGCGAAAGCAGTAAATAGTAATTTCAGACCTTATGCTAGCCTTGCTCACACATCTCAAAATAGTCCGATCTGCATAAAAAAAAGTGTCATTTTATCACTTGGTATGTAACGACGATGTTTGTGGTGTAAAAAGATGCATTTGAGTTGAGAGATCAAAGTGGAAATTGCTTTTTTTTCGGTAGAACTAATAGTTTTGGATTTTTCAGGTACCTCATATTGTAAGACACCTTAAAGTGTTTGCGATAAAATTGATTTCGAAATTCTTACAAAAATTAATAAGCTTATTTGAGAATTGATTGTGTCATGGAATCTGGGATCTGCTCTCCTAGCTTCTAGAGTAGAGAATTGAAAAGTATGTCTTTTTGCTAAAAGTTATGACCTTGAGACCGGCAAAGGTTGCACATTTCACATCATCCTCCAAAAAAATTTTTTTTTCTTTCTCTCGATGTTCAAAAAAATGTAGACTATTCAATGTTTTGTTTTCTCTGAAAATGTCTTTCTTCTCAGTTTGAGAATGTTTTAGAGTATTCTTTCTTCATGAATGTTCCTGCAAACGAATTAGAGGTTGCTCTAATGGATGACAAATTTCGGAAGAGTGGATGATTGAAAAATTCGTAAAGTCGAGTAGATTTTCTGCTTAATATAGTGTGCTTGCACAGTTTATGAAATGCGGTAAAATTTGCGCGTGAACAGGTAGCTGCGCCAGCACTGCCGGCATTTTGCGCGCGCAATTGGCCGGCGTCACAGTCGAAGCTATTTCCTCACGAGCAAATTTTACCGCATTTCACCTTCTGTGCAAGCACACTATATTAAGCAGAAAATCTACTCGACTGTAGCTCTTGTGAGAAAAAAAAAGATTTCAAGTTAGGATTTTCGCTGTCAAAAATGAATGTGAGTTTTTGTGAATTTGTAATCCAGATTTGTTTTTTCGATCGAGATCATTCATGTGTTGATGAAAAAAAATTGAAAATAAGGAAGTTTGCTCTCAAATCTGTTGTACTAATTTGATATTTTCGTGAGGTTCAATTTAGAAACTAAGAAAATGCTTGGTTTTTCTTTTCGAAAGCGCTTGTGAAAGTGAAGTAACCCGTGCAAAAACGTTTTTTTAACAACATTTTTGAACAAGTTCAGATTGGTTTAGGCATTACATAATCAATATCAAGCCGGATTTAGAGGAAAGAATCTTGAAGATTTGATGTTCATATGGGATGGTGTTTTCTTGAGCGAAAAATTTGGTCTGTTCCGGTATAAGGTTTATTTTGAATAGCAATTTCTTCCTGAATAAATTTTTATGATGACGAGAAAAAAAATTTCTAGCAACTGGACACTATGGTAATAACTATCCGTAAAGCTATGAAGAGTTGCAATTTTGGAAACTTTATCTCTTTCAATTTCAGAATGTTAGAAGAAATGTTCTCTGAAAACAAATCT